CCTCGACCGTTCGCCAAGAAATGCGCACGAATACCTTCCGATCGGAGTTTCGCTCGTTACTCATAGTTATACTCGACGCTCCAAAAGAGATCATATTTCCGATCTTGAGTGTACCATATGTCGAGTGTTCCACATGTCACGAAAATTAGCAACAAAAGTAAAATATGAGTCGTTTTTTTAAAGTATGTAAAGTAAAGAAGTAAAAAAAAAAAAATAAATAAAAAAATAAAAAAAAATAAATAAAAAAATAAAAAAAATAAAAAAAGAAAGAAGAGAAATTCCTTAAATCGATCGGAATGATGTTATTATTGTCTTGTAAAATATTGGGGCCACGAAACATAATCTAAAGAATGAAAAAACGACATAAAAAAATAAAAAAAAGGGAAGAAAGAATAATAATTTAAAAAAAGAGGGAATGAAGAAGACAGATGCTCTGATCGTATTACGTTGATTTGAACAAGAACGTATAATGTAAATCGAGAGAATCAAGTACGGTGATGAGATGATGAGATATCAATCGCTACAGTGATTGTTCTGTTTTCTTTGTTTTTTTTTTTAAATTCTTAATAGAATTATAATATACATACATATGTTTACATATGTTTTTTTATGAACGAACGAAAGTGAAAGAGAAAAAGATTGCAAGAAAGGAAGTGTGAGCGAAATTAAGAAATTGAAATAAAATCAAGCACGAAAAACAGAAACGAGATAATTTGTTGTGAGAGAGAGAGAGAGAGAAAGAGAATGAGAGAATGAAAGAACGAGAGAGAGAATGAGAGTGAATGAGAGAGAGAAAAAGAGAGCATTAGGGACCAACCAAAAAGAGAGAAAAAAAATGGCGTGCAATGGTGTCGATTGTCGCGGTGGATCGTTTTTCTTTTTTATATGCACATTAAAACAAGAAAAAGAACAATGGAGAAAGTGAGACATCAGTGCCTCGACTTATTTCGCGACCGAATACCGAACTAATAATTTAACCTATATCATTCTTACGGGAACATCATGCGATATGTATAAAACATATCGTTTTCGGTTTTCGCGAACACTCGATCTTCCATGTTTTTAAAAAAAAAAAAAAGAGAGATGGGTATAAAAATTGAAAAATAAATAACAATCATGCTGTTTATTTCTTGCACTATCGATAGTTAATGATGGTTAAACGAAAAATTCAGCCGAAAAAGATATAAAAAAAAAAAGGCTCTCGTGTAAATCATTTTATCGAGAAGTCTCGTGCTGGATAAATATATCTAATTATTTATAATATTTATAACTTTATATGATATACGGGCATTTCGCATAGAATAAATTTCATGTTGAATTTCGAACTGTTATTAATAAAAAGCGTTGAGTTCCTACAATGGTTTCTTTACTTCGCTTCTGGATAATTATTGTCTCATATCACAAATTGAAAGTTTCCAATTCGATTTTCCATTTTCCATGCAATAAAAAACCAAAGAGAAATAAAGAGAAAAATTGATCGTGCAATTCAATGAAATTATGTTTTCATTCAAGTGAATGATAAACAACACATATAGAACACACTATAAACGTCGAATCGGCCACGTTGCTGTTTGTCGAATCTCGTAATTTCGCTAATTGTCGACTCGCATTAAACCCGCAACAAATCAGACTGTTCAATGCGTTTCAACGTTGATTATTTACACGACAAAACTAATCGAAACATAATTCCGCACGGAACAATTGCTAGAAAGGGATAGAGAATAGAGGACCAACCAGTCTCATTGATTTATCCATGATGGTATCTTCCATTCACTTTCAAATATTTTCTAATGTTTATACATTTCTCATATTAAACTATTTTCATTATTTCAAAGCTATTCCTTTTAATTAAATTTAATTTTCGAAATGTATTTTTATCGATTCTTTTTGCAAAATCAAAGGCAAATAGATCTCTGTTTGAGAATATTGGTGGCAATCGTGTAGAATTTACAGTAGCGCCCATCAATTAACACGGCGAAAAAGAGAAAGAAAAGCGAAAAGAGCGAACTCTAGGCGGTCAAATGATGGCGCACGCAAAGTGTATCCACATTGCTCGCGCGATAATCGTAATGAAACTTTGTTCGTTATCGATTCTTTCGAAACTGTTGTTGCTAAGCGGATTCGTGCTTTATGCTAATTTTTGTTCTTCATTGAATGTTTCTATTAATCGATACATAGTATTAGGCTTCATGCGAAGAAATCTCTGTTTTGTTTTCTCGTGAATCAACTAGTTAATGCGAAAATTTGTTACACAATCGCAGAAAGATAGCATCTGCGCTACGATGTTCCAACACTAGGTCGAACAGTGGTGGTCTAACGTATATAGTCGCGCGCGGAAAGAGGAGGAGGATCAATATCATGGTTAGGGAGAGACCAGACTGAAAATAGGAGCGAGTGTAAAAGCAGCGATGAGGGATAAGGATTACAAGAAGAGAGAGAGAAGAAAAAAGGAGAGAAGCCAACCCGAAAATGTCAATTCGTCGGCCTTGATTCTTCGTGAAATTATAATTGTGACAAGGATGGCTCGTGGCCGATTTATATAGGCTCTTATTGTTTTATTGGAAAATTTTAGTGCGTAGAGCAAATGTTTATGATGATGAAGAAATATTTTTATGAATATTATTTTAAATTGAATTTTAGATTAAAAAGGATCATAGATGTGAAAATTCATAATTTGTTTTTAAATCGTATTTTTTCATTGATATTTTTACTCGATTTAAACTTTTCATAGAATTACGATTATATAGATTGCATTTATATTTAATCTTGATTTTTCAATATTTTGTTAATTCGAAATTTTATAACTTATATGTTTTATATTTCTTTATATAATTTTATCGATTTTTTATCTTATCATGTCAATTTATTATTATTAATTTAATCTAAAATTTTTAATTCATTTTGAATCTTATCAAAATTTGTTAACTAAAGTTTTATAAAAAGAAATTTTTATAAAAAAATTTATCGTGCGTTATATACGCATAATGTTTAAAATGTTTGAATCAATTTAGAATCCCATAATATTATTATCCCATTAGTATACAATGAAAATTATACATATATTTTACGTAATCAAGATTATTTAATTAATGATTTAATTGTGTTAATACTAATTTTCTTGATTAAAGATCATGCATTTTGCATTGTGATTAAAAAAAAATCTCTTTTATGCAATTTTAAATCGATCACTTTTCATTAACATTCTTTGTTAAAAATTGGTTGATAATATATTGTATAATAAATGATAAAAGAAAATTAAATCACTATAATCTCATCGTTATATTTTTCATGATAATAGGTTATATCAACTAGAAATAACTAAGAAATTTGAAATGAAATAATATTTCTTTTTTCTAGTTCAAAAATTTAATTGACAAAAGCACAATGGCGATCCACCAGCGACCGACATCGATTAGGCATACAATATTCCACTAAACACAACACCGAAAATGGCTCATGAAAATCCGTTATAAAACCATTAACTGACCTTTGCGATAGAAAAAGACAAATAACGTGTAGTCATTTTTAATTAGAATCTATTCTTATTTTAAAATTACAATTTCTAGCTTCTACAAATTATTTAAACCTTAAATTATGTAGAAATTTTAAATATAATAAAAAAAACATTAAATAATAAATATCTCTTGAATTATTTGTTAAAATAAACGAGAAATATAATTTTTGTTTACAAGATAATATTTTGATTAATATTTATTAATAGAAATGTATTTTTAATAGAATAATAGAAACGTATTATGAACATAATTCACAAATATTTTTTTCCTAAAACAACGGATTTGAAATGTCAATCATCCTTCATCGTAAAGGTCAGCGAGATCTTTTCTAAGCTCTTATTCGACAAAGAATATATACACACACATAAAATTTCATTCTCCTGCGTGAACCTAAAAAAAAAAAAAAAAAAAAAAAATGAAAAAAAATGAAAAAAAGAAAATAAAAATACGAAAAATTGGGCGATATATATTTCAAGGTTATATAAAACCAAACTCGTGGTTCTTGTATCCAGTTTATTTTATACTCGCTTGCCTTGTGTGTAGAGCGTCGACTAGATGATTTTCTACTGATCCTCTCTTTACAAGAATACGAAAAACAATCGTCGAGGTCGTCGCGAACATGAAATCAAAACCTCTTTTGAAACACCTTACTCATATAGCGTCATCTGAATTTCGTTTTTTCCAAGGCCGATCTGTTTAAAATCTATTTTTGAAAATTTTATTTTTTTTGATTTATATTTTGAGAAAAATCAATTTTTATCTATTATTTTGTATATTTTTTAAGAATTATATTGCAATTTATAAACAAATATTAATTTAATTA